CATTTGGTATTGAAATAAGAGTGTTCTGGGTATCCCCTAGTCGGGAGCTCCCGACTAGAACCTCTTACTTGTTCTTAAGTAAAGCCATACGATTTATATAATATATTTAAATACATACCATATATTATATTATATATATTTCTACATTATATCTAATATATATCATGAAATTAAAAAAATATCAATGTAAATTTATTATATTTAATAAATTATTATAATTATATTAATTTTTAATATTTAAACTTTATTAATTAAATTTTAAAGAATTATTTTAATTATTTAAAATACCAATTTTAAAAGATTACATTAAAATGCCTAGGGCAAAAAAGTTGTCAGTTCTTAATAGATCTCAGAGACAACGAGCTAGAAATCAGTTAAATAGGTATAATTCGGAATATGCTGAGCAGGAGAGGATAAACAATGTGGAGGGCTTGATTACAATTTTACCGAATAACTTATTAGCAACAGCGTAGTTCTTTTTAATACTTTATTGTTCATCGTGCGATATAGAACTGAACTCACTCGAACACAATAATGCTATATAGCGTCATAATGTTAATGCTTTTGTAAAAGTGTGTGAATGACAATGTTATATGGAACTGAGTGATGTATGAATGCATGTATATCTATGTTGCTATGAGTATTTATCCTGCTACAACTCGGCCATCCTGACAGCATGATCTCCTGATCATGCTAAATATAATATGTATAATGCTACATGAATCTTAAGTATACATACATTATTATTATTATTATTTTTTTTTTCTCCATCTCTGGTTTTTGTTCTTATTTTAATTTAACTTATTACCTTCCTCTTATGCTAATAATGTAATAAATACATATATTATTATTTTATAAACAGTTTTTTATTGTTTTCTTTTTCATCCAATGTCTTATATTTTGTTTGCTCCATACACCTTTATACCTTTAAGCCTGGAATCCTACTAAGTCTTTTAACAAAAATCTGTCATTTCGAATTACCTTCACTATCATATACGGCCCTTTGTGTTTTGGAATCAACTTTCTAGATGCGCCTATAGTTGCGTCAAAATTGTTTACCATTACACTACCTTTTTACTTTTTAGGCTTTAGTTTTAGTTTTGTTATACTGTTTCTCGTATTTTTTCCTTAGCTTTTTTTTTATTTTTCTCTGCATCTTTTCTGTTTTTTGTTAGAGTTTCTGTTACTGGCGTTGAATTTATTTCTTCTAGCTTTTCCTTTAACTATCTATGACAGTGTTTTTGTTGTGTTTTGAAAAACATTTTACTTGGTTTGTTTAATGATACGATACTGTGTATTGTTAAGTGCATATTCTACTTGGTCTATGATTGTGTCCCAAAATATTTTTTTTTCGGGTTCTACTAGTTTTGGTATGTAAACAATAACATTGTTGTCTTTGATCATATCGGAAAATATTTTATTAATGAATCGTTGAAACACTGCAGATGCATTTTTGACTCCCATGGGCATTCTTAAGAACTTGAACTGCCCTAAAGGGGTGACGAACGCTGTGTATTTTACCGACTTTTCGTTAACGAATACATGAAAATAACCATTCTTTAGGTATAGCTTTGAAAACACAGTTTTGATAACTAATTAATCTAATAAATCATCGATATGTGCCTTGTTGAGTTTCCTAAAATCTATGCGTAAACTCATGTCTCCAGTTTTCTTTTTTACTAACACTAATGGTGCTGCGTGCTCTGAATCACTAGGACGTATTTTGCCATTCTGTAAATATTCATCTAATAATTTCTGACGTTTTTCTTTTTCAATATAAGCCAATCGCCGTTTAGAACAACTAAATGGCTTATTGTTTTCTAACCGTAGTTTAATTTCTGCTCTAATTTTTGGGCTATCTGGTCTGATTGCTTTTAAATATCTCTCCTAAATTATTTTTACAAATCTGCACTTTGTTTCTTCACTACAACTATATTCACTTGTTGTGTCGTAAATGTTCAACATTTTATCTTCGAAATTGTCTGATTCTATCTCATTATTAATCGTTTCAAAATTAATCGTGGTTGACGATGTATATGTTGATCTTTCGTTTTGCTCAAACCAGGTTGCACATTATTATTATTTTCTTCTTAATTTTCACTAAGTCCTAATTTATCCGTTGCCTCTTTAGCCTCTCTCGCTTGCTGTTGCTGTTGTACCCGTTGTCTGTTGTATAACTGTTTTCACGGTTTTATCCGTTGTCTGTTGTGTAACTGTTTGCACCGTTGTAACCGTTGCCTGTTGTAAAACTGCTTGATCAGTTGTATAACCACTATCAATGTCTTTGATAATATCTTTTTGAAAAACTTCCCTAATTTCACTTACTACATTGCCGTCCTTGATTTTTGTATCCACCGCTTTCAATAGACTGAAAAAGATCTAACTCGATGATCTGTTCTAGTGGTGTTTGGATCAAACCCTAAATTGCATCACTAACCATACAATGCATAGACATGTCAAACAGCAGAATAATCGTATCCCGATAAATCGTCAACGAGGGAACCCCAAGGGTGCCTGCGACCATTTTAGTGTGCCCAGATAGAGTAAGACTGCTAAGAGTGGCAGCCGAATGTCCGGCCTAAAAAGCCGAGCGTTCAGTATAAAGCCGCATCTCGCTCAGCGCACAACGTCGATGCGGCTGATGTTATTTGTTAATGTATGTATGTTAGTTTTAAATCCTTACAGCCCAAAAACATACATATGTGTGTATGCATGTGCAGAGTTTGCCTCGCTCCCACTCATTGCTTTGCGCGCTTTTGTGCATCTCTTTCTCCATGCATAACTTCTCAAAAACCTCGAGATCTACAAACATACATGTGTTTGTGTTGTGTTGCAAGCCAGAGATATTTTCTTCAATTGTGTGCCTTTTATGCCTGTGGTAGCAAAAGGCACACACATTCAAATGCTCTATCTTGTATTTTTTGGCATACTTGAGCTGTGTGAACAGTCAACGAAAACAGGTGACTTGTCGCTCGCTTGCTTTTCGATATGGAAAAAATGCAAGTGATATTTTTATGTATTTTTTGACATTTTAAAAGTTTAGGGTTAAAGGGTTTTATGACAGGTCATAACGGTAAGAATGTCTAGCATGCGTCTGCATCCATATCAAAGTGCAAACGAGAGACAGGTGCACCATTTTTCGTTGACTGTCCACACAGAAACTAGGACAGTGCCGGCGCCTAAATTTACGCATCCAATGATGAAAATATCTCTGTCACATGACAAACCCTTGATCACACACATTTGTGTGCATGTGTGTGTGTGTGTAGAGCTCGAAATTCAGAAATGCCAAAAACTTCGAATCTAAAAAATTTGCATCGAACAGGCAGGCAACAAACAGGCACACAAGCGCATAAATACTTCCATCCATATAGAAAAGTGCGTAAGTATATGTGCTTGGCCATCCCAAAAAGTTACCATGTACAGATGCCAACGTTCAGGTACCCTTACCGTTACAACAAGCATGGAAAATAGAAGTTTTGCACATGAACAGGCCAAACCCTTTAATAATATCACACGACTGTTTCCTCGAAAGAGTGTGCGTGTGCACAAGTAGCAAGTCGCAATAATTGAGCATTTTCAATTTTTGGTGTTTTCTTAGAATTATTCGACAAGCCGACGATGAATTACACTTGCAGAAATACGACTTAGTTTTTTTGTTTATTTTAAACAAAATAGGTCCCCTCAGTAAACAAAAAAATTAGAATATAAACTATAAATATTTCATTTGGGTCATTTAAGTTTTTTATTAAATCAAAATAAATCAGATGTTTCTCATTATGCCTGACTGGGCGTACAAGTTAGAGCATTTGAATGTTTGTGCCTTTTGCTACCACAGGCACAAAGGGCACACAATTGAAGAAAATATCTCTGGCTCGCGTCAAACGCCGTGACCTACTTGTGCGCACATCCACGAAACACAAACACAGGTATTTTTGTAGATTTCGAGGTTTTTGAGAAGGTATGCAGGGAGAAAGAGATGCTTGGGCTGTGAGGATTTAAAACTAACATACATATATTAAAAAATAGCATCAGGCGCAGCGACGTTGTGCGCTGAGCGAGATGCGGCTTCATACTGTCTATGTCGATGTCTATGCATTGTATGGTTAGTGATTGCATGCATCTAAAAAAGTTCTACTGACTGCATCATAACTCATAAACTCGTTTGTTTCTACTGTCAATTAAAACAACATTTTATTGATCCTTTTAGTACAAAGCATAATATTTTTCCAAATATTTTAAAGCAAATTTTATTTAATCCAAAATAAATTTCTGGCTCATGTTGTAATTCGGCCTCTTTGGGCAATAGACATTTTTTTATTAATGAAATGGGACAACTCGAGTCTATAAGGCATGCTGTATTGAGGGGATATGCAATGAAGTTTGTAAAATTAATTTTAAAACATCTTACATAATTAGGTGCCATCATAGTCCATCGCTATTTTCTTGTCTTGTGCTAGTGTCATTGCTGGTGTTAAAAATTCGATCGCTTTGTTTACATTTGAGTGCTGTTTTTGTTCAACACTGCCGCCATTATCGACGGTTACTTTGTGGGTGTTGCCATTCTCAGCATTATCAATATTAATGTTTCGAATACTATCGATATCACGACTGCTGCTACTGCTGGGATCGTCTATATCGTTTGCGTTGCCACTGTGATTGTTGTTTGAGAAGTCATTGACGGCACGACTTTATGCGCTTTCAAACTCCGCCAAAATCTGTTGAAACTCAATTTTGCTGGCTTCAATTTCTGCACGCAGCTGCTGTAAGAAGTTGATTTCATTTCGCGCGTCGTGTCTGGTTACGCTTGCGCCTAATGACGCTGTTTCCTTTTAAATGCTTATGCCCGGCTGCAAGCTATATAAAGGCTCAAAAGCACTTGCTGTCTTCTGCACCTGGTTTGGTGATGCTTCAATTTCGCAATATACCTCGATTGGTGCATTGTTTCTTGCATTGTTTCCGTAATACTGCGAATTTCTTCAATGTCGCTTGCATCATGGGCTTGATCAGCGTTGGCAGGTGGCGCCATGCCTCGCACTTCTGACGAAATTGCGTTGAGGCGCGCCGTTAACTCGGCCTTGGTGCCTGTGGTTGGAAGTTTTAGTGCCGCAAACCATTTTTTCAGCTGCACGACTGTGAATTAGACAATATTAACACTAATGTGAATAACAATGTTATATGGAACTGAGTGATGTATACATGAATATATATCTATGTTGCTATGTGTGTTTATCCTGCTAGAACAACAAAGAGTCTCAACGAGATTGTAGGGAAAATGAAGGTTTTAGCCAACCTATGAGAAATAGGAATAGGCAACAAAACCGAATTCGCAGACAAGACCTAGTTTACTGAGTCAATGTCAAGAGACATGTTGCTTATTGATATATCGGTGCGGGCCCTTAGAACCTTAGAGCGATCCAAATTTTGCAGGGGTGGCACCGGCAAGCTCAGGATCCACTGCCTTAAACAAAAAAAGGTGAGAGAGCGTAGGCGGTTGCCCGCCCGATTCGCTCCTAAAAATATTGTAGGGAGTGCGGATCGGATGCCCTTGCTAACGCTCTTGGCCTACAATTGGTCCGTTGACCTAAAAATGCTGCTGCTCATATGGGCAGCAATGGTGACCACATTTGAATGTATGCGTGTTCCGAATTTCGGCATCTATGATGTTGCTGCCCAAATGTATAGCCGGGTAGTTCGATTTTGTCAGAATTAAGTTTTTCTTTTTGCATGTCGGCCCTGTACTAAACAATTCTAGAAAAAGTTTTAAACCGGCCAACCAATCCGACGCGTACAAAAAAAATAACGAGCAATTTTGTTGTTTAATAATTAAACTTTAACAAGATATACAAAATTTAAAACTTACATGCGACACGGGACGAACAAATAAAGATAAGACGATAAATAAATAAAAACCCACGGTTCCGGCAACGAAGGGACCAGCTCTCTGACCCAAGAGGCCAACAGTTTCACACCCAGGCCAGGTTTCGGCTCAGCGGCGCACGTCAGCCATACCCTCGGCGCACTTATCGAGGCTATCCCGAAGGATAGGCTAAGAAGCGGCCACGGGCGAGACCACGCCCACACCATCCAAGTGAGTCAGTTCCATGTCGTCCTTCCTCGCCCGAGTAACAGGCATGTTCGAGACCCCTGACTGAGAAAAGCTTTTTGCCATTATTAGATTCAGTACTTTAAGATAAATTAAATATGTACTTACGCCTAGTTTCACGCCAAACTTTCTAAAGCGCGAACAGCGAGTGAACGATCCAAATGTTATTGCATCGGCCTACTAATTATAAAAGTTAAAATTTTGTTACTTGCACGAACAATACACCCATACATACATACCTTAAAATACCCTTTCAATCGCCCCCTACCGCCACCCAGATGGCTCTTTAGGTAGGGTAAGGTAGATTTAAGCGATTTAATACCTCAAATACCTGCTGCGCGACTGATTATCGTGGCACACCCGGTTATAGGTTCATTTACGTGGGTATCTTGTTCCCATTGGTGCAACGATTACATTATAATTGCCTCCTTTCCGTTTTTTTCGCGGCGACTGGCAACAAACTTTGTTCATTTTAATGTTGTAAAATTAATCTACTCTGTAAAAAAATAAAATTTTAGATATTAGTGTCAACTATCAATGTGAGAATACAATAATTATACGCACCTGTTAAATGTAAGGAATGCCAGCTCGCATAAAATGATAAATAGCTTAGTGGAGATATCCTGCAAAGAGAAATCCAATAAGAAATAATAGTAATTGTTAATAATTTTAAGGAAATGCAACCAATTATATGCAAACACTGAAGAACGAAATGTCCAGCTAATTATCTAATGATGGCGAGAGAGGCATGACAGCCAACACGGGCTGATGAAGGCCATCTACTGGCCAAAATGAGGGAGTCGATATCAGGTGATCGTCTCAGTTAGGGCGAGTACGCTGGGTCTGGAACCGGGACCCGATCTGGAAGAGTAAAGTGGATTAATAGTTTTTGTTGTTGTTAATTTATATTAGAGTCTCACCTTTGTTGTTTACATTTACTAGTTGTCACAGCTGTTAGTGTTGTTCATTTGTTAGAAGTTCTGGCTGTTCATTTTGGGTAGTGTTGTGTAGGTTTGTGTTGCTACAGATGTTGTAGCTTTTTTGATATCGATTGTGCGGACTGCGGGCCAGGAATAGGACTTCACCCAGAGACCCGATGAGCCAGCCGGAGCGGCCCAACGAGAAATAAGTAGTTCCCTTACTTCTTTGAAGTCGGGGCGGAAATAAAAAAAATCAATAAAAATATCAACGCAGGTACAGAGAAAAGTCTCCGTTGGCTTTAGGATCCACACCGCTGATGTCTTATGTGGCACGAATAGGCGGCGCATAATCGCGCAGCGTCTAGTGGAATCCGAGAAGCACGACGGGGGCAGATATTACAAGAATATCCGTGAGCACGAGAAGATTTTTTTTTCTGGGGCTGATGGCGGTAAGTCACGTTCGCATATTGGCGAAACGTTTGCGACTGTCCATTATAGCCTGGGGGTAGCCGCCATGACAAAAAAACCTGTGATAAAATGTGATATTAGGGTAGGTTTTGTTAGAGTTTGTTTATTGTGATGAACCAGGACGATAAAGATTCGATCCTGCGCCGCACCTGTGACACAGCATGCCCCAATAGTGCCCAGAAATGTGACAGAAGCCAAATAGACTTCCCTGAATTCCGTTCGTCAGTCAAAACTGACCAACTGAGCATTTAGCGAATGCTTAAATGTTGTCCACTGTCCAGATTATGCGGCGTCAAAGTATGTGAAAGTGAATTCAAAATAAATAAAAGCCATTAAAAAACTATTCATTCAATATTAGTACGATTTGTTGGTGGATGTTTATTTATTTATTTATTTAATAGGAGTTATTTGTAAAGTTTTTTTTTTGTCTAGTATTAGGGTTAGTAAGCCCTATTGAAGAGAGGGGTACAGTTTTCTGGAGGAATTAGTATGGCTGAGGAACAGGTATCTGAACGGACGCTGACGGAGCGTCGGCACTGCCACCACCGTGCATGGCTGGAGGTCTGGTGAAAATGCCATTGAATTTCCGGGGACTCCCTGAGAGACAGATCCCGGCGGAGGGTCATCTGGTAGACTTAAAGAAGGAATTGGCGCAACAAAATAGACCTCCACGAAAGTGGGAGTTCCCAAAACCGACGAAAGACTCAGTGCTCACATCGGCAGCGAACGTGGCGATAGCTCAAGCACACCAGACATATTTGCATGCTCTGCCATCCAGCATCAGCGAGTCATCCGAGAGGAGGTGCGAACAGGCTTCATGGAGATGATGAAGGGCATCATTGATGTGCTTAGGCCGCCGGGAAGCCGCACCGGAGAGTCTAACACTGCGCCAATGCCACCAAGACCCGTCGTGCCGGGACCGCAAACAGGCGCCATCCTGGAAGAGCGAGAAGGGTTCCAGCGCGAGCCATTTTCACCGTCGGTGCCACCGAAGCCATACAGACAAGGTGCGCGAGGAGCGTAGTATTCATCCAGCAGCCCAGTTTTCATTGCAGATGCTCAGGCGAGGAATCCAAATAATCGCCACTTCCGAGTAGAGAAGCGGAGAGCGGATGACTTTCAACCGGAGGAAGCGTATGCCAACGTACGAGAAACAGCGTACCTGCAGCTCGAGCGGTGGAACGTCAAGTTCGACGGCAAGGACGCAATGAATTCTGTCGAGGACTTCGTGTTTCGGCTGGAATTCCTGCAGAGGCAATATCAATGCCCGTGGAAGGAGGTCCTACGCGGTGTTTACCTGCTCCTGACCGGACGTGCGGAGTGGTATTAGATGCACGTGCGGCATTCTAGGGTCGACAGCTTAATACAACTGCGGCACGTTCTCTTAGGCAAGTTCCGGGGCTATCAAACGGAGCATGATGTGATTCAAGAGCTACAACAGCGAGAGCAAGTGACCAGCGAAGGGGTGGATGATTACATCCAGCACATGCGTCAGCTCGCCGCGCGAAATCAGAAGCCGCTGAGAGAGATGAGCCGCGCCAAGAGTGCATAGAAGTGGAGAGGCACATTGGTCGCAGAAGCCGGACCGGAACCCGCCTAGAGCACTAGAGGAGGCCTTCGTGCGAGGCAGGATATCTTCCCAGCTAGTATGCTGGAACTGAAGGCAGTTCGACTATATCTTTGGACACTGCCTAACCAAAGAGCGGAAGATATTCTGCTATAGGTGCGGAAAGCCGGACACATTCTGCTCACAGTGCGAAAATTGTCCAGGAAACTCCAGAGGGAGCGCGATGATGGCGGGATAGACGAGTTCGGTGACGGCGACCGCGGAAAGGCAGGAGCAGAACACCTACCAAAGCCAATAGTAGTTGAAAAGGAAAAGAATATACACCATAAGTATCAGAACAAGGTTATGTATAAATATATGAAAAAAGGCAGAACATGAATGGGCTTACCATATGATGAACGTGTTCGGGCATACGTCGGCCTGAAATAGAATATTTGGTGAGCGACAGCTGGATTGGATGACGCTGGCCATGGAAGAGCAGGATTACGAGGCGCCAGCTCATTGAAGCTGTGAGACGGGAGGATAGCATAGACCCCCGCGTATTCGCCGAAGTGGAGGTCGGTGGGATCAAAATGAGAGGGTTGTTAGACACAGGAACCTCTATCAGTCTGCTGAGTAAAGGAAGTCGAGAGTTGGTCAAAGAATTAGGGGTTACGGTGCAACCTTACGTTTCTGTAGTCACAACCGCTGGAGGAGGCGATAAATCGATTATAGGTAGGGTAGAACTTCCAACTCGCACGGGGAATTGATTTTTGGCGAGCATTTAACCGAGCCCCTGACATTTTGGGCCACGAGAAGCTAATCTCCACGGATCACCAAGGGGAAGAGCTCTTGGCCGTGTCGATGACGTACTATGCGTCAGAAGAAGAACTCGAAAGTGAGTCGGATTCATGGGAGTTGTCTAGGGTTGAAATGGTAGAATTGGAGGCGGTAAAGCGGGAGTTTTTGTCTTTTGAACGTAGCGGATTAGGATCGACTGTCTTAGAGAAGCACACTATCGACTTAGTTGAAGGTGCCCAACCATTCAAAGATAGGGTAGATAGGATAACGGGTAGGCCGTTATCGCCAGCGATGCAGAAAGTTTGACGGTGAAAGACGCGTATCCACTACCCTATATAGAAGGCATCCCTTTTAGGATAGACCAGACCTACTACATCTCCAGTGTAGATCTGAATTTCGCGTATTGGCAAGTCGAACTAGATGACAGAAGCAAGCCATATACATTTCGAGTCATGCCATTTGGTCTACGCACCGCAGCCCAACGTCTAGTTCGTGTAATGGACAAGGTGATTCCTACCGAGCTATGATCCAACGTCTTAGTGTACTTGGACGACCTACTAGTTATTTCCCCAGTGGGGAAACAAGTGGGAAAATGCTTAAGGGAAGCGAACCTCTCAGTCGGACAGCACAAATCCAAATTTTGTCTCAAGGCATAAAAATAGCTAGGATTCATTATAGGTGGTGGCACGCTTCGCATGCACTCCGAACGGGCTATGTCTATCAAACGAATCCCCATGCCTCGGTCGCGCAAAGAAGTTCGCTCATTTTTGGGTACAGCAGGTTGGTACCGGCGATTTATGCGAGATTTTGCGACCATGGCCGCACCACTGACCGAAATGTTAAAAAAAAAAGCGGAGAGTTTGTTTTGAGTGACGACGCAATACAAGCCGTTGAACAGTTGAAGACCGGCCTGACTACGGCCCCAATGCTCGTGCACGCGAATTCTTCCATACCCTTCTTTGTACAGTGCGATGCGTCTCAGTTCGGCGTGGGACCGATGTTGTTCAAAAAAGACACCGATGATCAGGAACGACCCACAGCCTTCTTTTCAGCCAAGTTGAACAAACACCAACGGAACTACTCCGTCCCTGAAAAGAAGTGCTTAGCTTCGATACTGGCCATAAAAAAGTTCAGACTGTATATAGAAGGGATGCCTTTTACATGCATCACTGACCACGCCAGCTTAAAATGTCCATGAAGGACCTAAGCGGTAGACTACGACTTTACCATCGAGCACCGTAAAGGCAGTGAAAACGTGGTAGCCGACTCTCTATCGCGCAGTGCCGAAGCAGTGGGCAAGGTTCCAGAAGGTCTTTTCGAATCTGAGACCCCCGAGTATGAGTCAGCGAATTATCAGGCGTTGCTCGAACAGGTACGTTTGAATCAAGACAAACTACCAGACCTGAAGGTTGAGGGGGGTTCGCTTTTTAAGCGCATGGGGTTGGTCCACCTAGAAGACGAGTTAGAAGGCACCGTGTGGAAGCTGTGGGTGCCAAGCTCTTTGACAGCCGGCTTAATAGCGAAGACACATGTAGGAGATACAGCTGGTCATGGGGGTGTCGTAAAACACTTGAGATCTCGCATATGCGCACTGCTGCCACGCCCCACAGAGCAATGCAAGCGAGCGAGTTAATCGTACAATCAAGGCGTATCGCCGCGAGTGGGACCTCTACCTTCCAGATATATAAGTATCCATACGCAATGCCATACACACGGCGACAGGGATGACTCCGTTCTTTGCCGTTTTCGG